GTGAGGTTGGCCCAGGATCGGACATTGTTTCGTTCTGCTGTGCATGGGGTTGCTATGAGTCGGTTCCGACTTGATGGCACCTGACAACAACAACATGTCCTTCTCCAGGAACTGTCTTCCTGATAACATGTCCAAAATACAAGAGACGAAGTTTCCTTGCCCATCCTCCCTTCTAAGAAGCATTCTGGCTTTACTTCTTCCAAGACAGATTTGTTTGTTCTTCTGACAGTCCGTGGTACTTTTAATATTCTTCAGTATCGTAATTCAAATGCATCAATTCTTCTGTGATCTTCCTTATTCATATAAGGCTATTGAAAATACCATGGCTTTGTTCAAGCACACCTAGTTATGTGCCGTTTGGTAGGTTTAATAGAGATCCTGTGGAGGGTTTACAAGGAGAGGTTGGTGGGTTTGAACTGCCGACCTTGTGATTCACAGTCCAGTATTGATCCTGCAGTGCCACACCAGGCGTCCATTTTTATGATGGGCACTTTAAAATATTTGTTTTTAGGTGCCGTGGAGTCGGTTCTGACTTAGTGACCTTGAACATGGTTTCTGAGGCTGCAAATCTTTACGGGAGTAGAAAGCCTCATCTTTCTCCCGTGGAACAGCTGGTAATTTCGAACTGCTAGCGTAGTGGTTACCAATCGGGCTGCGAACTTTTAAGGTCAGCGGTTCGAAACTACCAGCTGCTCCGCGGGAGAAAGATGAGGTTTTCTACTCCCATAAAGATTTACACCCTCGGAAACCCTGTACAGGGTCGCTATGGGTCGGATCTGACTTGACGGCGCATAACAACAACAACAGCCCGATTCATAACTACTATACTACCAGAGCTCCTATATGTTAGGTAATTCTAACACCTGATTCATCTTAGTGTTGATAGGTTGATCTCTGTGTTTGTATATAGTCTTAGCTCATTTATGTTGGGTTTTTCTTGTTTTTTTGGTATGACAGAAATTTTCTATTTTCATGTATTTTGTGGGTATTATATTAGGAGATTCTTCTTTCTTTTACTGTGGTTAAGTATTTGTAACAGAACATTTGCCATTTCAACAGTCTTCGCATGTACGGTTTGGTGATTAAATTCAGCATATTGTTATATCATCACTCTTTCCTGTTCCCATATTTTCCCATCAGCCTTAATCAGAAGTTCATTGCCTCCCGAGTCCTCCTTTCCTCCACCCTTTTGCCTGCACCTGGTAACCACTAAGAAACTTTGGTCTCTATTGTTGTTAAGCGCCATTTAGTTGGTTCTGACTCACAGTGACCCTATATAGGGCTTCCAACCTTGGATTAGTAGTCCAGTGCTTATCCTACAGCATCACTCCAGGACTCCACACACGTTCCTATTTTAAACAGTCTCTTGATCCTGTTTGAGTCTTCTGTTTAAGCAGGAGTCCTTTGGTGATGCAGAGTGCTTAGTTGTTAGCCCGAAAGATGAGGTTCAAGTGCACCCAGAAGCACCTTGGAAGAAAGATCTGGCAATCTACTTCTGAAAAAGCAGTTTTACTCTGATGTACATGGGGTCACCATGAGTCAGGGTTGACTTGACAGCACCGGATTACACTATTTCAATTTAATGTGTTGGCCGTCATTTACAACATGAGCCACAACTCCTATGACATGTTAGTTTTCAGAATGCTATTTTCTTCTGCTTTGTTCTTTTGGCTCTGCTGGAGATCCTGTTTGATCTTTCCAAGTGTTTCCTGGGCTGACTATTGGGCTTGGGGCCCAGGCCGTGCTGCTGTTTACAGCAGATCAGCTCAACACTGTCCCTCTTATATGACAGGGTCCTACTTGTCATTGTGGTGAATCTGGCCAATTGCTTTTGGAGATGTGGGATAAGATCCCACTGGTGCATAATGCTATGGTGGATGGGACCCACCACTGTCCTGAGTAGGCATTGAGGATTCTTATCTCCTTATTAGGTCTATCCTAGGATATCTTTTTTTTTTTTTTTGTCTTCAGGCCTTTGAGCAGAGTCAGCAGGCTTTTCTTGTTTACTTATTTGTTTTATTTTTGTCTATGCCTTTTGGTGGTTCCTAGTTGCAGGTCTCTCTCGGGCCCAGTTCAGAATATATGGGAGATAAAAAGAAAACCAACTTAACCCACCTCAAGTTCTGAGGTCCCGCTTCAGTGTACCATTTTCTTTCTGTCTATTAGAGCCCTGTAATGATGGTCTGTAGAATTATTTGTAGACTGTTTACTTGTTGTTAAGTGCTGTGGAGTTGGTTCCAACTCATAGTCACCAGGCATAGGGTTTGTGAGGAGTGACTGGTGGGTTTAAACCACTGACCATATGGTTCAGTCCTGTGCTTATCCTATATAGCATCACACATGACTCCTTTTACTTGTTATTAGTGCCGGCGATTCTGTTCCAGCTCATAGTGACCCTGTATAGGGTTTCTGGGGAGATCTAGTGGGTTTGAACTGCTGACCTTGTAGTTTGTAGTCCAGTACTGATCTTACAGCACCACACCAAGAGTTCCTACTTGTACTTGGAGGGACCAAAGATCCAAACCCACTATTTCTGATTCAATACTGAGTCATAGTAACTCCATAGGACAAAGTAGAATTGCCCTATAGTGTTTCCAAGGCCATAAACCTTTACAGACTCAGACTGCCACCACCAGGGCTCCTGTGCTCTGGTGCAGGGAAATGTGGGCCTGTGCCATCTTGTCCTAGATTCAGAAAACTAACAATCTATAATTTTTTGTTTGCACTGGTATTGGCAACTCTGTGACGTGTTCAAGGCTTTTCCTCTTACTGGTGTTCTACCCTGTACAATGTTTTTTTACGTCGCTCCACATAGGAACAAGATAAGGATTCCTCATATGTTTGGGTGGGAAATAGGAGTGTCATATTTTTACCTAATTATCCATTTATTTAATTATAGGAAGTGGAGCAACTGCTGTGGTCCAAGCAGCGTATTGTGCCCCTAAGAAGGAGAAAGTGGCAATCAAACGGATAAACCTTGAGAAATGTCAGACTAGCATGGATGAACTCCTGGTATGCACATCTCCTGTTTCTTATTTATAAAGATATCAGTCACTGCTGTAAATGTCATTTTAGAGTTTTTGTTTTGTTTACCAAAAGAAAAAAAAAACACAAGATTTGTGATGTCTTCATTGTTGTTAAGTGCCATCAAGTTTGGTTCCAACTCATAAGGACACTGTATAGGGTTTTCAAAGAGCAGCTGGCGGGTTTGAACCACTGACCTTGTGGTTAGCAGTGCAGTGCTTATCCTACAGCACCATACCAGTACTCCAGTGTCTTCATGAAGTATTGTTTATTGTAAAATTTATAAAACCATAGAAGTAGAGAAGAAAACTAGTTTTATGAGTGAGCTTAAAAAAGTCCATGGAAGTTATTTTTTTAAATTGCATTGTTCCATGATTTTTTTGAAGCCTCCTTGTAGTCCTGTCACTGAGATTAACTTTGCTCTAAATATGTTTTTCAATAATGTAACCATATACTTGATTTTAGCATCTTGGGTGGGACAAGTGGTTTGTGATTGTCTGTTACTAAAAGGTTATCAATTTGAACTGACTCAGACGCTTCCTGAGACAACAGCCCTGGTGATCTGTCTCCACGGGATTGGAGGGAAGAAAACCCTCTGCAGTAATTCTCCTCTGTAACACATGGTGGTGCCACAAGTTGGCACTTATTCAACCGCAGCTAACAATACACTTGTTCTTTTCATTGAACAATTTATCATAGAAATTTTTGTGTCTGTCAAAAGGATGAATATTTTTTTCAGTGAAGGACAATTAGGTAGACCACAGTTTATTTAACCTATTCTCTGATACTAGATAACTAACTTGTCTCCTCTTTTTGCTGTTATTATCAATACTTCTCTGTTTATTTAAAATAATATATACTTGTGATTTCTGGGTCAAATGGAATATCCTTTTGAAAGCGTTTTGGCCTGCTGAAATCTTGTTACCAAAATTTAGTTTGAATTTATAGCTGATGAGACAAATGTATTTCTTTCAGAGTTGGTAATGCATGAACTGAAGTTTTAGGATGAGTAGAAAACCATCTCAATAAACACACTTTGGATTAGAAAAACAAAAAACAAAAAGAAATCCTTTTTGATGATCTTGAATTTACTGATAGCAATAGTGGGTATTTGAACATCAGTGATGATAAAAGAAATCTGTCCATTATAAACTATTTTTGTTAAAGAAAAACATTTTTTTTTACCTATACATTAAAACTGGATTTTGAGAAGCCCACTCTGAATACTTGTAATTTTTTGTAACCCGTCAGGGTACTGTAAAGTCTTACGGTTTCTATTTTACAACTAAAGAAATGGGCTCGCAGTTTAACTAACTTGACTAGTTCTTGTAATGATGATACTAGCAGTAGTCTTCTTTTCAGTTCTGGACACTTCATTTTCAACCTCGTAACATTGCTGCAAGGTAGGTAGTAGCTCCATTTTAAATCTGAGGGAAGTAAATGATACATGTGATGGAGTCTTGATTAAAAATAAGGGTTCATCCCTATCTTTTTAAGTATATAGTTTTGTTGTTAGTGCCGTTGAGTTAGTTCCAACTCTTAGCGACTTTGTATAGGGTTTATGAGGAGAAGCTGGTGGGTGTGAACTGCTGATCATACAATTAACTTGTGGTCAGTTCATTGTTTATTTTTCAGCACCACACTAGGATTCCAAAACTGTTAAAATCTTAGTTCAAAAGTAGAAAACATATTGCTTCTTCTCAAATACCATTTGATAATCTTAAAATTAATATTTTGCTACTACATTAGGGCCTTGCTTTTGGAGGATTGTTAATTTGTTATCATTTAGTAAAAGGAAAAAAAATGCTTGGCTCTCTATAATTTTTCCCATGTTTCAATAAACTTTACATTGCAAATAAAATGAATATGTATTAAAACATTAAAGCAGACAATATTTATGTATGGTACATAAGTGAAGGGAAAAAGTGATTTTTAATAAACCAAATTTAGAATAATTAATTTAAAAACAAAAACAAAAACAAAAAACAAGCAGATATGATTTCACTAGACCTTGAAGAACCATCAGGACTGTAAAAATCCCTGATTTTCTTTTGTTTGTGGTATCAGGACCTGGTCTATGGGACACTGAAGTCTGTCTCAGTGCCAAGGGGTATGTTGCTGATGGATGAAGCCCCTTTTTTTTTTTTTAAATGATCATACTAAACTTTTCATAATGTGGTTTAACATTTTCTTTTTAAAGCTATCTTTATTATAATGCCAAAAGGTTGCTCTGGGTACACCAAAGATTGCTGATATAAACTGGAACTATGTGTGTATCAAGTATGACAGTTATTAGTGAGGGGCAGTGTATATCCTTACTGTCTTTGGTCAAATGTTTGCCAACCTTTGCTTTGAGTGACAGGAAAGTCAGCTATCAAATCTTATCTTTAGACATTTTGCTGAGAGACTTTTTTCTAAGAAAGAACACCTGTGCATTGTTTTTAAAAGTTTCTCTGCACTGACAGATGATAGAACTAGATAGACAAACACTTGAGGATGGGATATCAAGGGACTTATTTCTCTTTCTTTCCACCACAAAGGACTCAGGAGAGGTGCCACATACTCTGAAAGTAGTAGGAAGAAAAGAGCTAATTGTGAAGATAGAGGGCTTGTGGAGATGTTTGTAGACTGGCAAGCAAGGTTGGGCAAGCTTTTAAATGGCAGAGAGGAAGACCCTTGATATATATATCTAGAAGGCAAGGCAATAAACAGGGTGCCTGGAAGCCAAGAGGGTGGGAATCGAATTCCTGTTGGGGAGCTAGAAGGAAATGGTATTTAGGTTGATATTAGAAGGAAGAGAAGAATAAGCTAGGCAAAGATGGTTGTTTTTGTTGGTGTTAAGTGCCATTGAGTTGGTTCCGACCCATAGCTACCCTGTGTAGGATGAGCTTGAACCACCAACCTTGCAATTCAGACGGCTTTTCAGTGTGCCGTATTAACCCACAGCGCCACACTAGAATGGTGGAGTGGGTTAAAAGCAGAGGGAACTGTAGGAATAAATGTCTGGAGCCACTTGAAGTTTATTTTGGCTGGGTCATGGGACTGGATCATGAGACTAGTGAGGTAAGCAGGGCTTGATTCACACATAACACATGTTATCACACCAGATGTAATTTAAATTCATAACTGAAATAGACTAGCTTAGACATTGGCTCATGTTTCTACATTGAATTTTAAGACCTTGTATCTAGTTAGAATGTTTCTCTTTAGAATGACAATTATTGTCATACAGCAGTGGGATGAAGTAATATTCTGTTGCATGTATAGATTTTGCAAAAACAAGCAAACCAGAAACACCTGCCATTTATGAACCTGTGAAAACCAGATTTCCCCAAATGGCTCTTAAAAAGTATTTTGGAGTAAGAATAAATGTACCAATGACGGCCTCTTGTGCTATTCTGTTGTGTGACAAATAGTGCATATTTCTAGTTTCAAAGATTACTAATGCAATGACTGAAAGAGTAGCTCCAGAATGGACTGAGGGAAGCCGATGGCAGTTGGCTTCTTTGTTGTTGTTTAAGTGTTCTTATAAAGATCAGAGCCATGGAGATCTCAGGAAGGTTGACATAGTATTGAGATTCCAAATCTGGATTTGCTAATTTGTAATGTACCCTAATATTGGAATCTTGGTGGGGTGCTGTGGACTAATGCTTTAGACTGCAAAGTCATTTGAACTGCAAGGTCGGTGGTTAAAGCTCACCAGCTGCTCCTTGGAAACCCTATACAGGGTTGCAATGAGTTAGAATCGACTCAGCAGCACTTAACAACAACAACAACAACGTTACGCTGTAGGGTAAGCATTGGCTAACCACAAGGTCAGTAATTCAACCCCACATGTCACTCCTCAAAAACCTTATACAGGGTCGCAATGGGTTGGAACTGACTAAGTGGCACACAACAACAAATACCAGTTAGTGTTTTTGGCATGCATATAATCAATTATCGGAGTCCTGGTGTGACGCTGTGGGTTAATGCAGCAGACTGCAAAGCCATTTGAACTACAAGGTCGGCAGTTCAAGTTTACCAGCTGCTCCTCGGAAACCTTATTACAGGGTCACTATTTGTCTGAATTGACTCCATGGCACTGAATAACAACAACATAATCAATTACCATGCTTTTTTTTTTTCTTTGTAGAAAGAAATTCAAGCCATGAGTCAGTGCCATCATCCTAATATTGTGTCTTACTACACATCTTTTGTGGTAAAAGATGAACTTTGGCTAGTCATGAAGCTGCTAAGTGGAGGTGAGTAGAATACAATAAAATGTTAATGTCTTTGGGTTCCAAAGCAATTAAAAAGGCTTTTTTGTTGTTTTGTTTTTCTATCCTGGTTTAGTTTTCATAGACATTTACATTTGAGGAGATACTAAGAATATAATATCTCCTAGAAGTTAACAAGTAGTTAATATGTTTGTCTGCTTAACTGAATTTGGCAGTATGAGTCTACCCAGAGATAATCTTCAAAGAAAGTCCTGAGAGTTTAGTTTACAGCCATTGAAAGCCCCATAGACCACATTTCAGCTCTTGACCCCCATGGGTTGCCATGAATTTGGGTTGACTCAATGGCAGCTGGTTACTGGTTAAAGATGCTAGTATCTAAGCTGAGACAGGCTGCACACATTGTGTTTAGTTGTCATACCTCTTAAACCTGTCTTAATCCACAATTGTTCTCTGTCCCTTCCTCCCTTCCATGACATAGATTTGAAGGATCTCGTCAAGTTAACTTTTAGAATGTCTCACGTTTTGGATTTATCTGATTATTTCACCTTTTGTGGTATTTAACCTAATTCTATTTTCCTGTATTTCTTACCAATTGAAAATTGGATCTTGATTGGATTCAAATTGACCATCTTGGACAGAATACTTTGTAGATGGTGCTGTATACTCCACATTGCTTCACATTTGGAAGCATTTGCTATCTAATTTTATCTTTAATAGTGATGTTAATTTTGATTACTTAAGATGATCATAGTTAGATCTCTCCATTGAAACTTTTCTCTTTGTAACTAGCAAGTAATCGGTGAGATGAGCATTTTGAGTATCAAGTTGTCTTTCAGTCTTTTATCCAATGATTTTAGCATTCTTTTTTCATTAGAGACTGCAAAATGTTGATGTTTCTTATTTTAGCATTTCTTTTGCATTTATAAAGTGGCGTTATTCCTATGAAGAGTATTTGTGCCTTATCAAGTTCAGCTCTTTATACTAGAATTCTTTTGAAAAAGGATAAGGATAAGTACTTGATAGTATTTTTAAGTACCAATGTTTCTGAAAGATATGGTATGCTAGTCTCTTCCAGTGGTAGTAAATGAAAGGTTCCCTCTCTCCCCTTTTATCATTTGGATAGGGCTTTTGCTTTTTGAATATCATTATGGACTTAAAGAGTTTTATATATTCATTATCTTTTAGTCAATTATACTCTATTTTAGATGCTTAAATTGTCTAACATTTTGTCATTTGAGATTCATGCCAGCTCGTACTTAAATCCTTTTGACCGGAACTCATCAGTCTTTGATTACTTTGTTGCTTTATAGTTTAAGATTTCCTAGGCTCACTTTTAAATTCTTTTTCCCAGACAAGAATCAACTAATTGTCTGAGGAGCTCTGGTAGTTGAGAAAGCATAACTTAGATGCTTCGGTTGCTTATTGCTTCTATGGTGTTAGTGGTGCTATTGCTCCTAGACATACATTCTTAGTTGATGGAACTTGGAAATATAGTTTATTTTTAAAAATCATGATTTGGCATTAATATCTCTAAATAAAGTTTAACAGTAAGGCTTTAAAACTTCTTTAATATTATACCCAAATCTCTTTTCTCTTACACAGAAAAATCTTTTGATCCCTCAATATTAACATAATTATTTATGTGCTTTATTCTATAATACACAGTTACTTCTACCTTAGTCTTTACAATAAAATGTAAGTATGGCTGGATACAAACAGTGGGCCCTTGGCGTGTTTAGAGTGAACATTTTGTTCTTTGCCTCGAGGCCCATTTATGTAGTAAATGAGTCATTTTTCCAAGGCATGGATTTGATTTATTTGGCCAAGTTGACAGGACTAGTGAGTGAAGGCACAACCTGGCTTGCTTATTATGTATGACTGGGCTTCATGGTGTGGGCTTGAATGTTTTTTTTTGTGGGATTTTTGTTGTTGTTGTTTTTTCCATTTTAGAAGATAAGGCCCAGAAAGAAGAATCCATGGTTGTTTCATTTGAAATTTTGATAATGTACCTTGTTGAACACCTTACATCCCCAGAGAAACTGTAAAGGAAAGAACATGGACTTTAGAGTTAAATTTCAACTTTTCTTCTTAAAAATTATACATTGGGGCTTCAAAAAGTTCATGGAAAAATGGAGGAATTACAAGATAATAGATTTTTTTCCCTTTAACTTTTGAAGCCCCCTTCATATATCATTGGGCAAATGATTTGAACTATTTGAACCATTTTTGTGTATGTTAAATGAGAATTCCTTTCTGTGTTTCTGGGTATTTGTGAGGAATACATGAGATGATGTGTTTTTATGTAAAGCATCCACAGTCTTGACATGTAGTAGGTGCACAAGAAATTTTAGTCATTAATAATAAATACTATTTACTATTAAATACATAAATCCCTTGCTATTTGATGCTTTTCAGTGTAGCCAGAATCACCTTTTTGTTTCAATCCCATTAGTGACACTCTGGAGAAACTGGATTGCTTTGTTAAAGGCCCTGTTCATATGATGGTTGGAAGCCTTGCTAACACCAACCACCTTTCAAGATGGTGGTCAAGCATGGTTCTTTCAGTATGGACAGATATGGGAGTATTAGGTAATACTGTATCTTTCATTATTGATCACCTATAGCATAATTTTCTTTGTCATTTACAAAAATGCATAATCCAAAGTATTAAATGTTTTGTGAAAAAGTTCTCTGATTAATAGAAATAAATTGCTTAATTTTTTCATCCATACCTGTATGACAGCCCAGCCTTGCTGCTACTCCTAAACAGAATGACTCTTTTTGTTGTATACTTTTTTTTTTAAGAATCCCTGTTCATCTTTATGTGAGTATATATTACAGTCACAGAAGGAGCAGGATATCTAGCTGGGTGGGGCAGCTTTTACAGGTTACTAGTCATCCCTCCTGGTCTTAGATTTTCTGCAACAGTTTTTCTAGCTTAGCACTCAGGATAATTTTTAGGCATGTTCTATGCATAATTATTTTTATAATTACTTATATTTTATGAGTCAACATAATCATTATATTTAAAGTTTGAAAATAGTATCATTCTTAAGGATGATGAAATCATACTATTATTGTTGTAAAGTAAATAAATATTTAAGCATTACGTAGTGTTCAGTAACTTAAAAAGGTAGGACTAAGGACAACTTTAAAAAAATTTTTAACGTAGGAAACTGTCAGAATTTATAGCTCAATTACAATGACATTTATCAAATGCTTATTCTCATGGACTTTATATTGAGTAGGAAAAAGTTTTAGTTAAATATAGAATTATTAAAAGTTTTTTAAAATAGTAAGTTAGAGAATGATTAAACAGTGAACTTTGTAGTGCAGTATGAAGAAGCATCTGGGGTTATAGGAGGAAGTAAGAGGACAGCTTAACCTTTTTAGGAAGAATGGATGAGATAGGAGTAAGAAAGGCATACCTCAAGGTGAGGATGCCCATCTGAGACTTAGCCAGTTGAAATGAGGGTGTAGGCAGTATCAGTGGAAGGATGGAAGGAGTGATCCAGATGGAGGGAATGCTGTGCAGAAGAAGATCTGATGTTAGGATGGAGGAATATGGTGTATCTTGGAATAGAGAAAGACAGACGGTGAGCAGGGGCTCGCTTGAAAAAAATATATAAATAGCCAAAGTTAACTGAAATATATAAAAAATGCTTTCTTTTGCATCAACTTTTCGTTCAAAATACATAAAGTGAAATAATTTATTTACCAATATTGTTGTTGTTGTTATGTGCCGTGGAGTCAGTTCTGACTCATATCGACCCTGTACAGGGTTTCCGAGGCTGCAAATCTTTACAGGAGCAGAAAGCCTCATCTTTCTCCAGTGGAACAGCTGATAGTTTCGAACTGCTGACCTTGCGGTTCACAGCCCGATTCGTAACCACTATGCTACCAGAGCTCTTAAGCTGATTAAATTTCAAAATGGGAATTGACATAAACCGTACAACCTGTTGGCATCATAGTTAAAATGAATTTGTTAAGTGCAGTCAAGTTGGTTCCAACCCATAGCTACCCTGTATACGGTTTCTGAGTAGTTATTGGTGAGCTGCGGTTCAAACCAACTTTACAGTCCAGTGTGTTAACCCTCAGCACCACACTAGGACTCTAAAACTAATTTGGTTGTGTCAATATTATTATAGTTTTGTAATGCTTCTTTATAACTGTAACATTCTTATCTTTTGTTACTTAAAATCCTGAGATTTAATGGTATAGGAAGTTAATCTAATAAATTGGAAATACTTTTGATCTATATAGCTATTTCCACAGTTAATCTAAAGTATGTCCAATTTTCAAAAAGGAAAATAAGGAAGCTTCTGAAAAGAGAAAAGTACCTGCAAGATTTAGAAGGATGACGTGTACAAATGCAGAAATTTAATTTAAATTTATTGTTTTATACAGTGAATTATTTTGTTGTTTAAAAAGTGCCCCAAGCTTTGTTTTTTTCGAGAAAGAAAAAGTGTGTGGACTTCTTAGTCTAAGTAAGACCCGAATAAAAATGTCATATTAATAGTGACTAGCTTTGGATTTTCAGAGTTTTAAATGGGTTTAAGATGCACTTTGTAGGTCCTACTTCAGATTCCCTGAATCTGCAGGGCTGAGAACCTTCACTTTGAACTCTCTTGAGAAGTCATTTCTGTACATGTTAAAGTATGTGAAGTGATTACCCCTGTAGAATATTTGTTCCAGAGTATGCAAGGACATAATACTGCACGCACTATTGTAGACCTCCCTCAGTATTTCTATTTTAGGTATTAATCTGAGTTATCTAGTAATCTATTCTCTTTTTCTTACCTTCCCTTGTTGTTGTTGAGTGCCATCGAGTCGATTCTGACCCATAGCAACCCTGTATAGGGTTTCCAAGGAGCAGCTGATGAGCTTGAACCACCGAACTTGCAGTTCAAATGGCTTTGCAATCTGACGCATTAACCCATAGCGCCACACCAGGACTCCCTTAGTTGATATATTTTAGTCTATACAATTTTGGTACTTGAAGAGGGACAATTGCATATATTATA